CCCCACCACGGCAGCGGGGGCATCAGCCCTCCGCCACCTATCACCCCGCCCTCCATGGGGGTGACTGTGGCTGGGGCCTACCCACCCGGGCCCCCTACGCACCCGGGGCTGCTCAGGGGGGGCGCGGGGGGGCTGGGGATCATGGGGCTGCCTCCTCTGCCGGCCCCTGGCGAGCCTTGCCCGTTGGCGCAGGAGGAGGTGATTGAGATCAACCGGGCAGGTGAGGCTGGGCCTGGGGGTGGGAGGCAGAGGGAGACGATGGGAGGGGCGGGGAGGGAGCCGCCAGCGTTCGGGGAGCCCAGGGTGGTCAGTGACCCAGAGGAGAGAGAGAAAAAGCCGGCAGCTGGCTCGGGGCTGAGGGGGTAGGGGGGAGGATCGCTCGAGCTCAGGAATGAACTATGATGGTGTCACTGCACTCCAACCTGGACCACGGAGCGAGACCTTGTCTCCAAAAACAGAATGAAACCAGAAAGGAACAGCTTGACGACACTCAGGCCAAGAAGGCACACACAGGTTTCACAGGAAAGACAGTTTTGGGGAGAAACAGACTTGCAGCTGCGGTATTCAGAGGGCCAGGTGAGGCAGTGGGCGGTGTCGCCCGCAGCTGTGCAGTGAGGGGGGCTCAGACACACAGAAGGTCTCACACGCGGATCACGGCCAATCTCACAGAGTCCCAGAGACAATCCCGAGGAAAGAGGCTAGAGGCCACGGGGTCTGGCAGGAAATCAGAAGCCAAGAGAGGGTCATCCAGACCTGAGAAAGAGACGGGACAGAGACTGAGAGCAGCGGGTCGGCAGCATGGAGGTTGGGGTCTAAGACCAGGTGAGGGAGACAGACTTAACGCTAAGAGCCAGAGGCCAGGGCCCAGACTCCAGGGCCAAATGTTCACATGACAGGAGGGTGACTGAGAAGCCAGGGTCCAGCTGGCTTTGCTGAGGGTGGTCTGGGAGGGTCTTGGGGGGACATCTGACGGGGGTCTGGGAGGGAGATGTTGCTAAGAGAAAGCTCTTCAGCGAGCAAGACGAGTTCGAAGGAAGAGGACTTTGCCAGTGTGTGTGTGTGTGTGTGTGTGTGTGTGTGTGTGTGTGTGTGTGTGTGTGTGTGTGTGTGTGTGTGTAATTTTCAAAATAAAGCCTTTTTAACTGATAGGCAGAGGAGAGACTGAAGGTGGATGAACTACTAGCAGGAGTGCAGGGCAGATTAATCCTGAGATGGCTTAGGCTGGACCAGGGTTCAGGCCACAGAGCTGGACTGAGGATAAGCTGCGTGGCTGCGGCGATTTACAAGAGTGGCTATTAAGTAATTTTAAAGACCATCAAGCAAGAATTCGACATTTAAAAAAATTTATTTTCCTGGAGACAGGCCCTCACTCCATCACCCAGACCGGAGTATAGTGGTGCAATCAGTTCCCCGCAGCCTTGAACCGAAGTGATCCTCCCAGGCCAGCCTCCAAACACATGGGGATTTCAGGTGTGCACCACTGCACCCCGCCAGAAGTTTTGACAATATTGGAGTTACTATGGGCGAGTTGTAACTTTACTTGCAATGTTTTTCTTTGTTGAATTTTAAAGTCACAAAAAACAATGAAATGCTTGTTGTAGGAATTCAAACAATATACGAATAAAAAAGAATGGTCTTTGGTCTTTTTCACTTCTAATGCCCCCTAATCCATTTCCTTGAGGAAACTAGTATTATTAAAAGTATGCATTTGTTTTTAAGCTATTTTGATATTTTTGCAAAATATGTCTCATTCGTGTGGGTATGTGTGTGGGGGGGTCATTATATTCCTATTGTTCACATGTGCTATTTTTACTTAACATTGTCATGGACACATTTTGAGTCTTTGCCACAGCCTGAGAGTTCATGATCCCGAGGGACACTCTTCACACAGTATTGTCTTAGTAGAATCGTAGCAGTAGCCGCTGATGAAAGCCATCACTCAGTGGCCTCATCCTCACTAATGAACACACCACACTGCAATTACCATCTGTGACACGGCACTAAAGTGTTCCGTTAGGTATCATTTTTATCAGTCTTGAAATAATTGCTCATCTGTGGTCACACACACTGCTTCTCAGCTTACAGCCGCATAGGAATTTTCTTTAGTATAATATGACTTACGACACTTGCAAAGCTGCGTTTATTTCCTTGAGTAGCTCGTTAGTCTTATTAAAATCTGCCCGCAAGATATTTTTCTCTCTGAGGTGATCTGCTGTCATGACATCCAACTCTTTTTCAAGTCTCTTGTTTAAATCTTGTTCATGCAACCTGTTTTATTTTTAGTTGAGAAAATGTTATTCTGAGGTCAAACGTTCAAAACTTTCTAAATTCTATCAGATTTAAAATGGTCTTGGTATAATACGCAGAGAATCACTATCAACAGCCTAAATTAAGCTACTTACTTTGCTATAATCTTCTAGCTGTGTTAAAGTTGTCTCCTTTAATGCTTTTTCAAATAACATTTTTAAAAGATTTGAGTCAATTATATACAATTTCCTAAGTTAATAAATACATATACATCGTACAGAATATAAACATTTCTTTTATGTTCTAGATTACAACATAGTCATCAAATCAAGTAAAAAATGGCCTCCAATATCTGACTAAAAGGGCAGCCCAGTCACAAAAGTAGGCTGGTACGGCTAAATAGCATCGCAACAGTTTTTCAGATAACACCACGCATTCCTTCAGCTGGAATTAACAGCATACCTCATCTGTTGGTTCGATTCACTTCGTATTCTGAGAATTTCTTTCCCCTTAAACTCCAATTCCTTGGTTAGGGCACTTATATTCTCGTGAAGGTGCTGCACCTCCTTATCCAAGTCGGAGAGGTGATGCTCTCTATGTCTTAGTTCCTCTTGTAGATCTGTTATCCTACACACGTGCTCCTTACTCTGTAAAACACAAGTCATTCTCAAAGTTTTCTACATATTTGCTTTCTGTGCTTATTGGAGGAAAAGAAAATGATGCACCAGAATGTCAGATGCAACCTGCTGACTGCTTCGAAAGCAAACACTAAAATAAAGAACCTCAATACATAAAAAAGTGCTTAAATGAACACAGCTCCAATAATGTCGGGGTTGGAAGGCACCCAAAGAACACAGAAGCACATCTCCCTTATTTTACAGATGAGGAAACTGATATCCAACGATCCCTTATAATCAATGGCGGAGCTGAGATAAGAGCACAGGGCTCTTGCATATCAGTAGCCTTCACACTGTCTTTCAGAAAAATGTTGGCACCACTGCCCTGTAGTCTAAAAGGAATCTGCACCTCTGGAGAACACCCCCCAGCATCTGATCGCTCAGACAGCAGACTTCGTCTGGTTGGTACTGGTCTGGGAGCTATTTTATCCGACAGATACTCTCCCTTTCCATTTTCTTTTTTTTGAGTTGGAGTCTCACTCCGTCACCCAGACTGGAGTGCAGTGGCTTGCTCGACCTGCTAGGCTCAGGCGATCCTCCTACCTCAGCCTTCCTCAGGTGGGAGGATCCTCAGCGTGGAACTACAGGTGCACGCTACCACAACCGGCTTAACTTTTGCTTTTTATTGTAGAGATGAGGTCTCACCAAGTTGCCCAGGCTGGTCTCAAACCCCTGAGCTTAGGCAATTCTCTCGCCTCGGCCTTCCAAAGGGCTGGGATTATAGGCTTGAGCCACCACGCCCAGCCTTTCATTTTCCTAAAAGTCACTGTCTTCTACAAATTCTGCAGGCCTAGACACTGTCAATTTTGGCGTAAGACCACTGAAGAGAATATATATTTCCTCCGTGGTTACGAGGTGGCTCATTTAAAACTTGCTAGCAATGAAGAGGAGCTTTGGGCAGATCTTTTAACATAAGTGAAGACTAACACGGTGTCAGTCATCAGCCTAATAAACTAACAAATAATAGCTTTGCATAGACTATGCCTATAACTCTCATCCACCCAGACACATATGCATTCAACATCACACAATATCTATGTCTTAAATTTTGTTCATTTTTATTTTTTTTTCTGAGGCTGCTTGCTAGGGAACACAGACTCTCTAACTGAAGGAGAGTACACTTGGCCAAAGAGCAAAATTTAGAAGTAGAACTAGCAGCTGTGCTAAAACAAAATGGAAATGCAAATGATCTTTTTCTTGAGCACTTGTTCCTTTTACGGCAGGGCTACCCGATACGGCCACTTAAACTCAGGTGCAAATTAACTGAAAGGAAATAAGACTGAAAATGCAGCTTCGAGGCCGCCCCAGACACCTTAGCCCACGCGACAACTGGCGGCCACGGCGAGCAGCACCGGTATAGGGCAGCTGCGCCCTCATGGCTTGTCCTACTGGGCCGTGCTGGCCTCACGCGTCACTCTATTTACGTTCGTCATTCGCGTTCCCCAGACACCATCACAATTCAAAACATTCAAGAGACTGTCATAAAATAAAGTGCGATTTTATAACCCACACACATACTAAAACTGAGCTACTCATTCCCCTTTAAGGATAAAAACTCTTCAGTACAGACAGAATATCATATCTATTTAAAATAAGTTATTATGAAATAATTTTCAGAAAGTTGTGAACATTCGATCTATTCACATTTGAGAAATCATCACAGCACAGAACACTTTTTACCTGTCTTCTGCTGATGTCTATGCTTCTTTCTAATTCCATTTTAGCAGCTGCCAATTCTTGATGGTGATTATGCCGCAACAAATCAATTGCAGCTGCATGTTGATGGTTTAGCTCTGAGCGTAATGACGCTGGAATGCAAGGAGGGAAAAGAGCAAATTTTTAAAATGTTGCTGATAGTTTAGGTAATATAAAAGTCAAAAAATACCATTTTAAAAATTGGACATCTCTATATGTCCATTAACCTATTAATAATTATAGAATATCATGAAACTAAATATTATAGACTACCATATACTATCATGAATTTAAAGTTCATCTAGCTTTGATGAGGATAAGAAAAATTTCAAATGCTTAAGTGGATCAAGGTACTTCTATATACGCTGAAGATTAAGTGCTTTTAACTCTTCTCTCTCCCTATTAGAATAATAAAATTTTAGAGTTGAATGGTACTATAACAAATGCTTACTTAGGTTCCCACCCAAGTAAGTATTCTTCCATAACATCCCTAAAAGATGTCAAGCACTGGCTAGTGAACGAACGCCTTTAGTGATCTGGAGGTCATCGCTTTCAATTGAGTTTGGGATTGATCATTTCTTGAATGCCAGGCACAATATATTCCAGGGGGAATGAGATAGGACACTGTCCTTATAGCTGCACAGGTTGGAGGGGAAGACATTACATGAGGGAATTAAGTGGGATGTCGGAGGTGAACATTAGCACGATGAAAGCACAGTGGCAGAAGACCCCACGGGTCCCAGGAGAGGGACACTGGGGATACCATCACAAAGGGACTGTCACAGTGACTCCGAATAGAAGACTCAGCAGGGGCTCTCCAAGCAGGGAAAGAGACGAACATTTGGAAGGAGGGACGTCACACACAAAAGCAAGGAGAAGCTGGTCTCCTGGCCAATGCTCCTAGATCTGGCAGGAAGCCCCGGTGCACAGGCTCATACTGGAAGCAACACAGAGCCCAGGATGAGAATATCTTAGGACAAAATGCTTCTTACTGTAGCCGTAGGCTCATGGTTCTGGGACATGTGTGGCAGTAGGCCTTGAAGGAGCTTGGAGAATACGCAGGGTCATATTCTGAAACAAGAATTTTACTTGCAGATTTTGGAAAAGTCATTATTTTTGTATTAAAATAAACAGAGGCATCTATAAGTTAGTAAAATGCAAATGATCAATTTTACAGCTAAACCATGGGACTTCAAAGAAATGCTGTGCTTGTAGCCAGCTAGCTTAGCCTACTTTGGAGACCTCCGGGCAAAGCATGAGGTTCAGTCTTGCGCGGTGCCAAGGGCTTCTTCAGTGGAAAAGCCTGACAGGCAATGAAGCAGAACGCGGGCATCGCTGAAGGACTTCAGTGGGAAGCCCCACGGGGAGATGTGCACGTGGCAAAGTTCACCCTGCCTGCCGTCTGGAGCACGTGCTGCAGGAAGGGGCATCAGCAAGAAGGTTAGGGCGACAATCCAGGCAAGAAAGGAGATGATCGCAACCCTGTGTGTCAGCAAACCAGAGAGGAAACACACACATGACACACTGAAGAGGAAGTCACAGGACGTGGCGGCAAAAGAAAAAAAGGGGAATTGATCCCCATGTTCCCGGCTTTGGCAACTGGGTAAATAGTGATTCCACCCGTTAAAGGAGGTGGTACAGGAACGGGAGCACATTTTGGACCACGGGGAGACAGTCCGTATTTTCCGAAACGGGACTGGCACGTGGGATGAAAGGGCAGAGGGCAGAAAAGAAGGGAGCAGTGAAGACAGACGCGTGTGAAAGCCACGGGGAACAGAGACTGGGAAGGGAGGGGTCAAAGGGCCACATGCTGCATCAGGGCACAGGAGACCAAAGCCAGCCAGTGAGAACCCCTTGCACTTGGCAGTCACAGCTCAGAGGTGACCTCAGGGAGAGTTGTTTCCGTCGAACGATGAGGACACGACAGAGACCTGAAGGGTCCCAACAAAGCACAAGGACACAGAATATGGAAAGAACTCTCAAAACTCATCGGTAAAAACACAAGTTCTCCAGTTAGAAAGGAAGTATCCACTAGCAAAAGAGCACATGAAGAACGTGCAATCTAGCACGAGCCGTGAAAGAGAGGCAAATTAAAATCAGAATGCGTGACCACACCCCTCCAGGCTAAGGCAGAGCGACGGCATCATGTGCCACTGAATCTGTGGGCAAACTGGGCTGCCCACCGACGCCCGCAGGGATGGACCTGGGGCCGCCACACTGGAAAACAGTGTGGCCGTTTCTTCCAGAACTCCACACGCAACCGCCCCAGGACCCTGCACCTGCACTCCCAGGCACTCATCTCAGAGAAACAGAAACGTATGTACACACAAAAACGTGTGCGTGAACGTTTACAGCTGCTTTATTTGAAACAGATACAAGCCGATAACTCAGGTGACTTTAAGCGGGTGAGGGACAGCGAACTGTGGTGCATCAATACCAAGGAATCCCCTGGACAATACGAGACACAAGCTACTGACATAGAGAGTTGTGCCAAGTGAAACAAGGTCAACCTCAAAAGCCCAGATGCGATTCCCTCCACAGAGCTGCAGTGTTCTTGCGGTGACAAAATTATAGCAGCAGAGAACGGGTGAGTGGCTGCCAGCACACAGCAGAGGGGAGGAGTGGGGGCAGGTGACGATGAACAGACGGGGACGGAAGCGTTCTGTGCCCACAGCGTCCAGCTCAGTGTCCCCTTCGCGGGACCGTGCAGCACACAGTTTTGCAAGACGCTACCACTGGGGGAAACCGAACGGAGTCTGGGAGATCTCTGTACTACTTGCTGAAACTGCGTGTGAACCCCCAAACAAAAAGCTTGTAAGACCCCCTAAGTCCTCTTGTGTACAAAAACATCTGTAAACCATGTTTCAGGGAAGTAAACAACAGGAGTTCCGACACCTGGACTGTTTTCAGCTGTCTCCACACAGCTGCGGAACGAGTGTCTTCCCTTTCGGTCACAGTTCATCAAAGATGACCTCTCATCGGACTGAAGCCCTGTGCAAGGACCAGGCAGTTGCTCATTTTTAAATCTGTAAGTGGCTACTGTACAGATCTTTGACAGGTGTCCACCCTGAATATGGTTTTCGTGCTAGCAGTCACAGAGGCTTTTAGAGGAGGATGAGGAGGGCTCCAACGGCCTGGCCTAGGATCCCAGCAACACTCCACACGATGGACAGGGCCACACGGCCATCCATCCCTTCCAGGCCAGAAGAGTCATGGCACTTTGGGCTTCTTTGTTCCCAATTCCTACTTGGAAAGAGTATGCCACTGAAGCGTGACAGCATACATTAAAAATATTAGGAAAGTTTGGAATACAACCGAACAGAAGGAAAACAAGATGGCAAGAATAAAAAGTTAATGAATGACACTAAAAAGCAAAGCCAATAACAAACCTTTAAGTATATACCCAGCTTTTCTATCTTTCTTTTTGATTTATTGTAGAGATGAGGTCTCGCCAAATTGCCAGATGGGTCTCAAACCCACGGGCTCAGGCAATCCACTCACCTCAGCCTCCCAAAGTGTTGGGATGACAGGCTGGGCCACCAAGCCTGGCCTATACCCAGCTTTTCTTAACAAGCCAACTTCTTATAAAAAAGTAACGATTTGGACCCCTTCTAGGTACAAATTCCATTAAAAAAAATTCCTCAACAGAAAAGGCAGACCTAACCATGACTTTTCTCATGGAAACAAAATTCTAGAATGAGAAACCAGCATGACCTGGTAGTCTAGGGACACTGGCTGCATGTGGTTATCTACAGGCCGGCACCAGCTTCTGATGCCTGAGCATCTGGGCACCACTGAGCTCCCCAGGACAGATGGGAGACTGTAGGTGCTGCCAGCGCGGTCAGAGCAGAGAGCCCCGAGGGACTCAGGTGACCGTCTGTGTCCTGTCTACTCTACTCTGCCTTCGTGTTTTCACCTGGCAACTTCAAATGAAACATGTAGCCCGCATCCATACTCCTCTTGATATCTCAAAACATTTTGCTTCATTTTTGCTTCATTTTATTTATTTATTTTATTTTATTTATTTCATTTTTGAGTTGGAGTCTCACTCTACCACCCAGGCTGGAGTGCAGTGGCTGCTCCCGGCCACTGCAGCCTTGACCTGCTGGGCTCCGGCGACCCTTCTGCCTCAGCCTTCTAAGTAGCTGGAACTACAGGCGGGCGCTACCACGCCCAGCTCATTTTTAATTTATTGTAGAGATGAGGTCTCGCCAAGTTGCCCAGGTGGGTCTTGAACCTGCAGGCTCAGGAAATCCACTCACCTTGGCCTCCTAAAGTGCTGGGAATATAGGCTAAGCCACCGAGCCCAGCATATTTTATTTTTTTAAATTTAGGATCTCATTCTGTTGCCCAGCTAGAGTGCAGTGGCACCGTCATGGCTCACGACAGTCTCAATCTCCTGGGCTCAGACGATCCTCCTGCCTCAGCCTCCTGAGTAGCTGAGACTGCAGGCACGTGCCAGCATGCCTGGTCAATTGTTTTATTTTTTGTAAGGACAAGGTCTCGCTATGTTGCCCAGGCTGGGCCTAAACTCTTGGACTCAAGCAATCCCTCTGCCTTGGTCTCCTAAGTGCTAGGAATACAGGCATGAGCCATGGTTCCCTGACCTTGAAATTTTAAAATAAAACTTTGTGATTTTTTTTTTTTTTTTTGAGTCGGAGTCTCACTCTGTCACCCAGACTGGAGTGCAGGGGTCGCTCCCGGCCACCGCAGCCTCGACCTGCTGGGCTCTGGCGATCCTTACGCCTCAGCCTTCCGAGTAGCTGGAATTACAGGCATGAGCTACCATGCCCGGCTGATTCTTTTATTTATTGTAGAGATGAGGTCTCGCTGCCCAGGCGGGTCTTGCTGCCCAGGCGGGTCTCAAACCCGCGGACTCAGGCAATCCATTCACCTCAGCCTCCCAAATGCACGGGATTACAGGCTGAGTCACCGAGCCCGGCTAAACTTTGTGATTTTACGTTTAATTTTAAAATGGAAGAATACACACATGTAAGAATATATATTATATATGTATATATATGTGTGTATACACACACACCAGAGACAGGGTCTTGCTCTGTCGCCCAGGCTGGAGTATAGTGGGGACTGCAGCATTCAACTCCTGGGTTCAAGCTATCCCGCCACCTCAGCCCCCCAGGTAGCTGGTATTTTAGGCGTGAGCCACTATGCCTGACCACAGATGATAAGCTTACAACCCTTTTAAAGTACCAAGCATGGCCTTTCCTTCATCTTCTAACTCAAACCGAAGTGTCTGCAGTTCCTGTTCCATTTCTACCCGGAAGCCCTCCATTGACTCTCTGTGGGCATCTTTTAATGACTGAAGTTCTGCAGAATGTTTTTGTTGTAAATGATCTTCAAGTGCCTAAAACAGGAGAAACAGACTCAAATTATTATGCTGGAATATAGGAAGGAAAATGTAAATAAAATAGAGTAGTTGCTAAAACTCAGTTACTATTTAAGAAATACAAAGTGTTTTCAGTTTAATTTAAAAAAAACTAGATATAAGATAATCATCATCAGAAAAAAACAGACTTGAAAGAGTCATTTCAGTAGGATAAATGAATCATCAGGAAACCAGTTTGATTCAATATATGTTATTCGAATCAGAAATGTGGGCCAGGCGTGATGGCTCACTCCTTTAATTCCAGCAGGAGGAGGTAGGAAGATTGCTTGGTTCCAGGGGTTTGAGACTAGTCTGGGCAACAAAGTGAGACCCCCTCCCTCTTGAAAGAAGAGGAGGGAGGGAGGGAGGGGAGGGAAGAGAAAAGAAAAAAGAAATTGGACACCTTACAGTTCTTCTCAGTGGATTAAAAAAAAGAAAGCGAGGAAGGAAGGAAGATAGGAAGGAAAGTGGACCCTTGACCTGAGGCAGTTTTCACACAAACTCACTTTCTAAGCTATTAAGGGATGTGAGCCACCTAAAAGGTACAAAGCACTCTTCTGTGCACACAGACTTAGACTTCGGAAGGCAGAGGAAGGGGCAGCACATCACCCAGAAAAGTCTCCCGGTTAGGAAGGGACGCAAGCCTTCACAGCTCTGGCCCCACCACATATCTGTAGCTGTCCTCTACAGCCTGTCCTCACACCTGCATTCGTGAGAAGAGGCAAAGGTTCTGAGGAGGGAGCTGGACAAGCAAACTGAAGGCTTTGGTGTGTTTCCTTCGAAAAGCCCAGAGGGACAGACTGCCTGTGGCCGCCACTAACTGAAGACACATGGCCACAGAAAAAGACAGACCGCTCCGGGCACCTCAAGCTTGGAGAGGGAGCTGTGTGAAAGAGGGGTGTTTTTGTTTATCTACTATAATTTATAACACGAAATGCTTCTGAGAAAAATACCACATTGTAACTAGGACTGCATTATTTATTTAATTATTGCTCAAAATACTGTTCTTTTGTTGTTGCTCTCAAAATGCTGTTTTTAAAAGTTAATATTTAGTTACTTATGTCCACTGGTTTTTTTTTAAGTGTTTTATACCTGAAAAATGAAGCATGTGGGTTTTTTTTTGAATATAGGTAAAATAAAGAACTTTGGTTTAGACAATGTTACTTAGTAATGACAGAACTGTAAAACTGCAAGTTCTGATTCTTCTGAAAAATGACTAAAATTCTGTAAAACACAAAAAATGTGCAAAATTAAACTACTGATATGAGAGCTCATGTGTTATGCCAATTCATCAAAGGTATCCAATGACTAGATTATTTAGTGATATAATCAGGCTTTTTTTTTTTGAGTTGGAGTCTCACTCCATCGCCCAGACTGGAGCGCAGTGGCCACTCCCGGCCACCGCAGCCTCGACCCGCTGGGCTCCGGCGATCCTTCCACCTCAGCCTTCCGAGTAGCCGGAATTACAGGCATGCGCTACCACGCCCGCCTGGTTTTTTGATTTATTGTAGGGATGAGGTCTCGCCAAGTTGCCCAGGCAGGTCTCGAACCCACCGGCTCAGGCAATCCACTCACCTCAGCCTCCCAAAGCGCTGGGATTGCAGGCTGAGCCACTGAGCCCGGCTCAGGCTTAATTTTTAACCGAGAAAAATTCCCTGACTTTCTAGACAAGATCAATGGATTACAACTTAATGTACAGGAAAGCTAATTGTTTTTAGAAGAATGTGACTTTTTTTGTCTAAATTATTTCTTTATAACATACCATTTCTTAAAAAATGTTCTGCTTATGAATAAAGGATTAAGAAAAACCTCTATGTGTAATCACCATATATGGTGAAAATTACTGTTAGCAAAACTTTGTTCTTCTAGAAAATCTTTAATTTTTTAATTTATCTAACTATTTTTGAAGTTGAGGTCTTACTCTGTCGTCCAGGCTGGAGTGTAGTGGCTTGCTCGTGGCTCACCACAGCCTTGATCTCCGGGCTCAAGCATCCACCTGCCTCAGCCTCCTGAGTAGCTGGGACTACAGGCATGTACCACCACACCCGGCTAATTTTTTAATTCTATGTAGAGACGAGGACTTGCTACATTGCATAGGCTAGTCTCAAACTCCTGAGCGCAAGCAGTCCTCTTGCTGCAGCCTCCCAAAGTGCCGAGATTACAAGTGTTAGCCAACACCCCTGACAAATCTTTATCTTAATTATCATAAAGTCCTTGGGAGAAACTGAATAGTAAACTGGTAAGAAATGAACTAACCCAAAATGAATCGCTAAGACTATGTCCAACTAACATTTTAATACAGAACTGAGTAATGGATGTGGGAAGACTCTAGCATATAACGTGATTAATCCAATAATGCATCTCTTATTTAAATCTCTTCTGACTTAGTTGGTCATTACTTTTTACATAGTCTTTGGGGCTGTATATGCATGTGAGGCTGTATACTATTTAAAATGTCTCCGATTCCTTTTCATTGTGAATTTTGTACACAGAAAAAAAAAAAAAGAAGAAAGTGAGGAAAGAAAATCTGAGATAAAAAATATATAAATTCCCTGGATACATTTCTTTTTTGTAGACCCAGGCTGAGAGAGAAAAATTAAAAATTTGATGCAAGACTATAATAAGCACAAAACGATGTTAAATGATTAGAATGGTTACAGCCCAGTAGAACCATGCTAAAAGATTTAACTGAATTTATTTCATCACCGTTAACTCTATAACAAGCCACATGGTGTACCAGTCTCATCATGAACTTGGCATTATGCTGGGGAAACAAATCAATGGTGGCTTCAGTCTGTCTTCTACAGTGGCTAATTAGTACATATGTTTAACCACTATGACCCATTAGGAAGTCATAGCCTAGAAAACACAGTTAAATAAAATAATACACAATTTTTTGGAGCAAAAAATGAATTCTTAAGAATCTGAAGGTTCATTATTATTAGGCTGTTGGATCATATTTGAGCGTATGCCATATTAAACTTACTCTTTGTTCTTTTTCCTTTTCCTCTTCCATGGTGTGAAACGCAAGAACATGTGCTTCTTTTAAGGATTTGTGTCTTTGTTGGTGCTGCTCCTCTAATTCTTCGAGCTCTTGTGTGAGCCGCTGTCGTTCTTGCGTGAACTGGACTTGCAGTTGCTGCAGAGAAGTCTGAGACTGGGAAAGCTGTATCTCTAGGTTCTGTTTCAGCAAGGAAATCTACGCACAGGACAGCACACAGCGAAGGGTAAACACAAGGTGTGTCTCACACACTCCCAGTCTAAGGAGAAAGTACTCGAAGATAGACACCGTAGAGGAAAGTTTCCACTAAAAAGGCTCTACAAGAGCTCACGAAGACGTAAGCTTGAGTGTCACCATTTTACGTTCCATTTTCAGGAATTACCCTGAAGATGGACTGCTTAGTACTGTTTGTAGACCCTCTGAAGAACACTGCAACCAGCATTTAGAAATGCAGTGAACACCTATGTTGCACTGAATAAAAATCCATACTATGAAATAAAAACACAGGACAACTAGTATAGCTATTAGGTCGCAGTCACTCTGAGGAAACGGTGTGAAAAGCTGAACAGCTTATTTGTGAAGCAGCAAAGTGAAATAGTTAAGACTGAGAGCTCTAAGTTAAAATCCTAGCCCCGCCACTTGTTTGTATCAACACCTCACCAGGCTGTGGGGTGCCACACACAATGTTGTCTTATTCCGTTTAGTTCACTTAAAACAGACCCTGGCATGGAGCAAGCCTTCCACAAATGTTAGCTAAGACTGTTTGAGGCTTAAAAACCTAGTCTGTAAAAGATATGCCATGGTTTGTAATTTAGAATCCTTATATAATTTTTTTTATTTTTGAATTTTAACTGGAAGGACGTGCAAACATCTTAAGATTTTAAAAAATCACAGACATCCCACAACCTATTTCACTGTGGAAACCTGATCTGTCACTCCATTTGAAAACAGACAACAGCAACATTAATATGTCTGTATCATTTCTGGATATAATAAATTTACAATTAGGTATTTGTGTACGAGCAAAAATATAAAACACATGTATATGTAAATATCATATATGTTCATATACACATTTAATGAAATCATTTAATTTGATCTGTTTCTATTCTCATAAACAGAACAACATAACTTGAAACCAGACCACTCAATCACATGAAGGGGGACCCAAGAAAACAGAATTTGTCAAAAAAAAGTGTACTTATTTTTACATGTTTAAACTTCAGCCAACTTCAAAATACTTTCCATTTGATGCAATACACCTGTCAAGATGCTTTTCCCACTGCTCAAAACAGTTTTTGAACTTGTCAACTTTGGTGCCTTTTAAAAATGCTTCCACCGTTTTTTGCTTTACCTCTTCCACATCGGGAAAATGTTTCCCTTTGAGGAATTTTTTCCTCCAGGGAAACAAGAAAACGTCATTTAGGGTGAGACTGGGTGATTAGAAAGGGTAGGACACGGGGTTCCTGTCATTTTTTGATCAAAAACTGCCGAATACTCAGTATAATGTGGGCAGGTGCGTTGTCACAGTGGAAGAACTAGTCACCTGTTGGCCACATCTCAGGACATTTCTGCTGCAAACTGTGACACAATCTTCTCAAAACTTCCAGATAAAAACTTTGGTTGACTGTTTGCTCTGGAGGAACACATTCCAAGTGTACTACAAAGGGCCGGTCCTCCAAAAAAGAAAATTCCAGGTGATTTTTTTTTTTAGTCCTCCCTCATATTCTAAAAGAAATCTAAATCCAAGAGGAATTTAGAGGAACCAGAAAAAACCTGTAAACTGGGTTTTATAAGCGACTTAAGATACTCTATGTATGTATATACTGGTAAAACAGTTTCTGTGGCCAATAAAAAGGGGAAACTTTAGAGTGAGTTTTTGTAAAAAGACTTTCTTTTGATTAACAAAAGGCAGATAGAGGTCATCTCACATGTCTCACAAAGGAGGGGAACTGGGAAGGAAACAGAAAGGGCATATCACCAGATACACCAAACAAGACAGGAGGAAAGACATGCTCTTTGGAAACAGCAAAAATCAGAAGCAAGCCACTCTCTCCCTTCAAAAAGCAGCCAGAGACTGGATGTGGTGGCTTCTGCCTGTAACCCAAGCACTTTGGGAGGCTGAGACACGAGGACTGCTTGAGCCCAGAGGTTCAAGACCAACCTGGGCAACATAGTGAGCCCTCGTCTCTACAAAAGAGCCACAAAATTAGCCTGTTGTGGTGGCCCCACAATCCCAGCTACTTAGGAAGCTGAGGCAGAGGGATCGCCTGAGCCCAAGAGGTCGAGGCTGAGGGGATCCACGATCGTGCCACTCCACTCCAGCCTGGGCGACAGAGTGAGAACCCGACGAAAAAAAAGAAAACGCAGCAGGACATAATCACAGACTGTAGTGAGTGTAGGGTGTGATCAGCTGTCCAGAAGGGTTTGGGGCAAAGTTATAAATCCAGGTTAGTTTATAAGGGTTAGCAAACGCCTTTATGGAAACAGGCACTGGTGAGAAATGCTACAAATGACACAGACGTCCAATCTGTTTCAATGCGTTTCCAAAGGAGTGACTCTACCTGTTGAAACTTCATGAATTCTGCTTACTAACTTCTACACAGGCAAGAAAATATGTGTTTGTGAAAACGGATGTGTAATTGGTAGAGCCATTGTGTCCCCAGCCAGCTGCCTCCTGAAACAGAAAAGGCTTGGCCGGGCTCGGTGGCTCAGCCCATAATCCCAGCATTTGGGAGGCTGAGGCAAGTGGATTGCCTGAGCCTGTGGGTTTGAGACCAAACCAGGCCACTTGGTGAGACCTCGTCTTGACAGTAAATCAAAAAACAGCCAGGCGCACTACACGCTTGTAGTTCCAGCTACTAGGAAGGCTGAGGCAGAAGGATCGCTGGAGCCCAGCAGGTCAACGCTGGGGTGGCCGTGACACTACACCGCAGCCTGGGTGCGGAGTGAGACTCCAACTCGAAAGAAAGAAATAAAAACAGAAAAGGCTTGACTCACTCTATTCCCAAGTTCAGCTCTGGTCTCAGCCTCAGCCTGGGGACCCAGGGCGACTGCCTGGGAGGTCTCTGGTAACGACTTGTCGGAATGTATATGGGAAAGTTGAGAAAAGTATGTTACATGCAGAATAGTGATTGATATTCTTAAAGGGATTACTTGGCACCAGCTCAAGTGGGGACTAAAATCTACTCAGCATTCTGCTCACCAAGCTGTCTGCCCTGGCTACAGATCTGTGTTCACTCCCTAGAAAAAAAATAAAAATAAAAATAAAGACTTTCTTTTTCTGCTTTGCACAAAAATACCACATAGGCTAGTGGCCCTAGGTCCTATCCTCTGAGTGTGCATGTAGTAAGAAGCCAATCAGTTCACAATAGTGCATCTTATTTTCTGTAACAGCTACTTTAAGAGTTCACTGCATCAATATATCTGCCATGTGTTAATGCAACTCACACTTGAACTACTTAAGGATGGAAGTTATGAAGAAATATAACATTTAAAGTAAGCAAAGTTTAAAAAATAATAAAATAAAATGAAGCACCAAAGTAATATAACAGTAATAGTGATATATAATAGCAACAGTAATATAATCTATGCACAGTTTTAAGTTTCTCCACCTTAAATAAAATACACTTAAATATTTTGCATTATAATATACTTTACCTTGAAAGAAATCCAAAATAGTACTTTCCATCTTAGGATAGATGATAGGTCTTTGTATCTACACTCAACAAAATAACATAAACTATATGCAGAAAGATATCATCATGCGATATAGTGCCCAAATATACTTAGATCGTTTGTATTCTTAATTTGAAAGCACACTAGAATAACACGAAGGCTATCTGAAACCTCCACACTCATGCTCAAGACAGTAACACGAGTTAAACGCAGAAAGCCTTAATCATGCAATGCAGTGCCAAAACACATTTTGTTCTTTTCATAAACAAGTTAGTAGAACTGCGGTAATCAGCCTTTGCTCAGCATGAAATTACATGGCACCTTAAAAGGCAAATAATGAGCAAAGCAATGCAAATGAAATCTTGTTTAACAGTTATCAGTTAAACAACCAAGTTTAATATACTTTAAGAAATGCATATTAATATAAAATTTCACTAAATCAAAACAAAAGAGAACAAAGATGGACTCTGCATTAAGAGGATCAGGCAACCTTGATCAGTACTTTTATTAGAGAGTTACAGAAAAGTATGTGTTGAATAAATGAATGAGAAGCAATTGTTGTTTTGAACTATATATATATATATATATATATGTATATATATATACACACACACACATATAAATATACACATATATATAAATACTCAAAGTATGTAGTGCATTCTAATTCCTACATATTTGTTACAATTTAAAATGTTTGTCCATTTTATTTTATTATTTTTTTAAACCAGGATTTATTGAGAAGACAGAAAAGCTCCCACAGTGGGAGGGGACCTGAAGGGGTCGCCCAATTTTTGTCTGTTTCAAATAAGCCAAAGAGAATCCTTATTGCAGAAAACAATTTAATCTTCATTTAAAAAATTCTTACCAAAGCAATTTGGATATGAATTATAAATACATTCTATTGATTAATAGCTATCAGATATTTTACAAACAATTTTAAAAGCCAAACTGCACTGATTGCCACGTTCCGTCTCTACCATCTAAAATGCGATTGTCTTTTTGAAAATCAAGTATTGAAAATACATTTTGTAAAAATTTGAAGAAGAAAAAATATTGAAAATACATGCATGTGTATACTTTTCTGTTTGAAGAAAGAAAAGCTTCCCTTTTTCTATAGAGCAGGTCCCAAGGAATCTGTACCTCCTTGATGCCGCTTTAGAACTCCCTCAAAAAAATCCAAAACGTTTCATCTGAGGCACTGGGTATGACAGGACTTCAGTACAAAACATGTCATTCATTATGTACAGCTTACCTACAGACTTTGGTTTTTTATGCAAGGTTGGTGGGGTTTTTTTAACCCCTAAAACATCCATCATTACAGAAATGATAGAATATAGAAAGTATACAAGTAATTTGTTCTCAAAATAAAGTATGTCTTGAGTCAGTAAACGTAATCTGTGGTTCTCAAACCTGTAGATTTTTTATTTTTATTTTTATTTTAAAGATGTGGGGTACAATTCAGGATTAGGTATACAAGTAAAGTCTGGGATCTCTGTAGATTTTCGTGAAGACAAATGTCTATGCCCTATTCCTTGAGATTCTGATTTAGTAGGTCTGGAATTGGGCCCAGGTTGCCCACAGTATTTTTATGCCTAATTTAAAAGTATTCATTGTGAAAATTTTAAAAATACAGTCGTGTAAATAAAAAGGAAAGTCTCCTTTATCACCTTTCCCTGCCAAATCCCTGCACCTAAGGCTAACCAGTGTTAACACTTTGGTATGTATCTCTGCAGACTATAATGACTTAGATGTCTCTTGACATAATAAACTTTTGTTTTCTTTTGCTTTTTAAACTATGCCTTGTGTAAATGGCTGGATGGTTTCCAACAAATGTAGAAACTATATCTGCCATGATCTGACAATATACTGGCTACGTCTTACAAGTGACGGAAACCCTAGGGTACACCTCAAACGATAGTGCTCAATGTCCACAGACACTCATGGAGAGACCCATGGAGCAGCTGATAGGAACAGATTATGTGTACCACACAGAGCAATAAACAGCACTTCAAATGTAAAACCATGAGGGCGTCCTGACCTGCAGGTGTTGATGGTGGTTTTCACATACTCAACTCTATGTAGCTTCTACCAAGATGTCTACCCAGAGATTTATTTCATAATGTTGATCAATTTTTCCACTAGGGAGGCCAGTGAGTATATGCTTCTGCAGTTTTTCCCTCTGTTGAAAGCAGGATTCATAGGATATATCCTTAGATAAGTCCCATTCTGTTTCATGACGACATGAACTTCCTGGGGCAGGCATTGCTCCTCACATTTCCAAGAGACACTCTCCTTCCTTCCTTTCTTCCCAGTAAGCTGGACTCTTGAGTTTGCTTGGGGAGTGAATGGAAATCCCTAGTAGGTAGGCCCCTCTCTATCTGGGAGTAATCTAATTCTAAGGCGTTAAGTCCAATAGCTTCAAATAAACAAGGTAACGTTAAAAACAGCTAAACTAGGCTTAGTAGAGGACAGTAAAAAGAATTAATATGTTGACAACTTACGTAAATGCTCATGTTAAATACTTAAAGGTGCTTGAATGTTTTAATTCTCTATTTCTTTTTTAATCACTAATTTGCTATTATTGAGTCTAATTAAGAAAAGTTAACTTTAAGCTTGTGAAAGTCTTGTTACTCTAAAAATATTCTGAATTGTTCATGATTTTTTGGTATTTTCTAAGAAGACTTATCAACACTTGAGTTTATCAACTAAGAATCACAATAATGCTGTTTAAAGTCTTTACCATGATTGTGGAATATGTTCCCAATTATTCTCTTATTCTTAACTAACACTAATTAGACAGCATCTATAAAGGGCATATGAATCAATATTCACTTGATTTTTAGAAGACAACATATAGGCGGGGGTGATAAGTATGACATTCGCTCAAAAGAGGGTCTTAATCAGATAAATGCCAGCGTCACCATGCAACAGGCAGGACAATCAAAGAAAATAGCGGAAACACGGCTGAACGAATATCATACTACACACTGCTACCGTCATTCAGTTCAACTTTGAAAAGCAATACCTGGATGACATCTCTTAGGTTGTGCATACGTTTATGTGGCAGCCCTGCAGAGGAAAAACCTGCCAAGAACTAAAGTCTTATATGGAAGTCTGGGACACAGACCACGTGCAGAGGGGTAGACAGGGGCTCACACCCTGGGCACAGCACCCTGACAGGGCCATACGTTGCTGTGGACGATGGAAGGGTGGAAGGCGATCTTTCAACGACCGTGACGCCACAACAGAGAGTCACGCAAGTGGTGGGTCGTTGTGTCTCCAGCCCCTTTGACTTTTCTGTCGAGGGTGGATCGAGGCATTCTCATTCTCGCTACTGACAGGCTTAGTTTCAACAAGGGGTCTGCATTTCACGAACGCTTTCCAGGGACAACCAGTAGGGAAGAAGTGACTATGCTGCCACAAATGCTCTGAAGGATGAGTCGATTAATTTCAAAAACGGTCCTATTTTGAGTTATTATTTCTATCCCAGCTAGGACGTGTCACACACAAAAAGTCTGGATACAGTTATCATGCCAAAATTCTCACTTCGTTTTATGTGACTGTTGAAAATAATTTCTAAATGTAGTCTCATTTCACCAGCATTGAGATAAACATGTTTGCTGCTTATTTATTTACTTATTTATTTAGTTAGTTAGAGTCTCACTCCATCACCCAGGCTGGAGAGTAGTGGCACATTCATGGCCACCCCGGCACTGACCTGCTGCGCTCCAGCAATCCTTCCGCCTCAGTCTTCCCAGTAGCCGGAACTACAGGCATGCGCTACCACGCCTGGCTAATTTTGTGATTTATTGTAGAGATGAGAGCTCGCCAAGTTGCCCAGGCAGTTCTTGAACTCCAGGGCTCAGGCAATCCCCTCACCTCGACCTCCCTAAGTGCTGGGATTACAGGCTTGAGCCACCGTGCCCAGTCCTGTTGCTTATTTTTAAACAGATGAAAGAAAATGGTGCTAGGTGTGCTTACATATAATTGTTTTTAATGCAGAAAAAAAGCTGAATATGGAAGGTAGGCAAAATCTGTCTTTTCTTGTGTAGTAGAAAAAAAATTAGGGAGCTATGAGGAAATAGCTTCACTCTAGAAGTATCAGAATTCCACTTCCTTAGACTCAAGGCTTTGACTTCTCTAGGGCAGGAGTTGGCAAACTCCAGTCTGTTTTTTTGTTTTGTTTTGTTTTATTTTGTTTTTGAGTTGGAGTCGTACTCTGTCACCCAGACTGGAGCGCAGTGGCCGCTCCCGGCCACCACAGCCTCGACCTGCTGGGATCCGGCGATCCTTCTGCCTCCGCCTTCCAAGCAGCCGGAACTACAGGCGTGCGCTACCACACCTGGCTGATTTTTTGGTTTTATTGTAGAGATGAGGTCTTGTCTGCCCAGGTGGGTCTCGAACCCGCGGGCTCAGGCAATCCACTCACCTCAGCCTCCCAAAGGCGCAGGATTACAGGCTGAGCCACCGAGCCTGGCTGAGTCTGTTTTTTGTAAGATGAATTGTACTAGAACATATCACAACTCTCTGCTTATGTGCCATCAAAGAGTATTTTCACACTACAGCAGCATCTGCCACAAAACTGGCCTGGCCCAAAGGCCTCAAGTCTTTACTATCGGGCCTTTGACAGAAAAGAGTTACTGACTCCTATATCAAGAAAAGTATTCAAAGAAGTGCAGCTGTTATCTAATTTTAAAGGACAAGTATCAGTTTGGTGTGAAAAATCTCATTTCTTCTCAATTTATAAAGAAAAAAATTTTGAATGAGTGTTAAATAGAACATTATTTTGAAGCTTAATTTCTGCATACTTGAGTATACATAATTTAAAACGACAGCTTTGCCAAGTCTTAGGAAAAGTCATTTACTCCACATTGCCTTTCCTCTGTTAATAATTTTAACATTAAAATGTAAAATATGTTCTAAATCTCATGACTCTTGGAACAATTTGGTACTTTTAAATAAAGTCGTCTATAGATGCTACTTTAAAAAAAACAAGCTAGTTTAACAAAAAAAAGAAATACGATTTTACACTTATTTCCATTTTTATGATAGCCGACTAGTTGATGGCTTTTCCAAAATATTACTATATCTTCAGGGTAACTTTCACATTTGCGAGATAAGATCTTGGTTGGCTTTAGGATAAAATACACGTTAACACTGGTCGATGTGTGACATGCACAGATTAATGACTGAAGGTCAGCAGCTTCTCTCCCCCAACACAAAACATGTCTTATCGAGTGCCGAGCTGTGTTTCTACAGAAGCCAGCTCTAAAGCGGTGATGTCGTGTATGCAAAATGAAAAGCACAACATGCCCTTGCGCACAGGTTGCAAGCGCCGCTCACTCACGTTGTTGATAGATTTATGCAGCGCTTCGCCCAGAGAGTGCCGCTACGAAGAAAGATCACAGGCATCACGGGAAGCATTCCGACATCGGCTCCGTGAGAGGGAGGGGGGCGAGAACTGAGAGTGAAGCCCGGAACAGTCATGACAACGTGCCACGAAAAAGTCCGTCGGAAGCAGCGCGGAGACAGAAGCCAAACACAATACCCGTGGCCCTTTAAAACAGGGGCTGGCAACCTCCGAAAGGCTGAGCATATAAACCGGAGCCCACTTGAGGGATGGTGGCTGTTGTGGCCCCTGGAGGGGATCTCACTGGACTCAATTCCTCCCCGATATCTAGAATATTAATAGAACTGCTTCAAGCACCACCCCCAGTTTGTGTTAGGTTCATGAGGATTTCTCCCAGGAGGAATGAGCAGATGAGAACTGCAACACTACCTTGATGGACTATACAATTTGGGGCCAGAAACAACGATGAGATAATCACCGAAGACCTGAGGATTGAACAACCATCTGCTTTTGTACCGAGGGAAAGGAAGAAGATATGCCCTTACATCTTTGTAATGCTATTCTCGAGGATACAGTTGGCGAAACTATTTGTGACCAGGTTCATTTTTTCAGAAGCTCATTGAAGTTTATTAAGTGATAAAACACTGGAAACACCTACGGCTGGCTCCTCCAAATATGGGGAAAATGAACATGTGATTTCATTTTCAATCACCTCATGTTTTTGCCTTCCCAAAACACTAAACAGTATTTTTAATTTATGTCATAAATTTAAATAAGTTTATTTAGGCCGGGCACGGTGGCTCAGCCAGTAATCCCAGCACTTTGGGAGGCTGGGGTGAGAGGACTGCCTGAGCCTAGAGGTTCAAGACCAGCCTGGGCAACTTGGTGAGACCTCATCTCTACGATAAATCACAAAACTAGCCAGGCATGGTGGTGTGCCTCTGTAGTACCAGCTACTTAGAAGGCTGAGGCGGAAGGACTGCCTGAGTCCAGCAGGTCGAGGCTGCGTGCACTGCACTCCAGCCTGGGCAACACTCCAACTAAAAAAAAAAAGTTTCTTTAAAGTGGTTTTTATTCTAGACACGAATCCAATTTTCAGACAGAACATAATGATGTTTTTTGCAAAATGTGATTATTCCTTGGAGTGGCACAAACTAAAAATAGTTTTCATTTGGAAAAAAAGATTTTTAACTATTAATTTGACACTAACGTATTCTAGGATATAGTTTACTAGAGTAGAAAAAATAAATTGAGATAAAAGAATAACTTTCTATTTGCTTATTTAGTAATTTCTTAATCTAAACTGTCTCACACTTTTATGTTTCATTTTTTTCACTATTTTATTTTTTCTCATACTCTTCATGTTCTCTATATAATAACCAGAGGCTTAACTTATCCAGACCTCACAAAACTTAAGAAAAACTGAGGGATTTTTAGTTGCAGTATTTCTTACATCTTTCTATTTCTTAGAACTCACATCCCAGTACTAGAAGTTAACCTAGCATGTATACCATTTATTTAGAAGGTAGGTTTTATTTTTCACTCTTTAAGGTGTCATCAGACAAAAATATGTCCTTTTAAGACTTCTGAATTAACTGATAAATTAGAACAGACCCGAGTGGCATGCCAGGTCACCCCCCCTCTAAATCTAGATTTTAAGACTGTATATGACAGAAGCTATTGGAGCATTTGGAATCTAAGCTCATGGGGCCGCTACCTCTGCCTGCCACACGCAGCTGTGAGCCGCAGAAAGCTCTCACCCAGAAGGTATGGCTCCTAAGCAGCGGCCTTGGTCAACCTCGCATCCCAGAGCCGGCTATGGCTGTCAGTGCAGGCCCCACGAGTGCTGCTGGGCCAGCAGCGTCATTGCTTAAGACATAAGGAAGTAATGCTCAGTTTTTCATGTAAAAATACTGATGATGGAAGGCCGAGGTGGAAGGACTGCCTGAGCCCAGCAGGTCAAGGTTGCAGTGGCTGTGAGCATGCCACTGCACTCCAGCCTGGGCCACAGGGTGAGACTCCGACTCAAAAAAAGAATAAAAATACTAACTACAGTATTACTATGTGCCCCCAAATATCTTAAGTGCAGGGTGAGGTACAGAGCTGAGTAAAACAGACATATTAAAATTAAAAAGAAAAACCAATAGGAAAGCGGTAATGATAAATACGGTTTTTAGAAAGGCTGCTGTGAGAGGGAGCAGGTGGAGGTGACTGATGCTGGGTTGATGGCAAGGAGAGGTCTCTGGAAGAGGAAGGAACATCTAAACCGGAACCAGTGCAGAAGCTAGGTAGGAGACGACCCTGGTGGGAAACAACACACAGGTGTGGGAAGTGTCCATGGGGGACCGTGTGCTGAATGCGACGGGAGACCACGCAGGGGCCAGGTGGCTTGAGGTCTCCGGCCACCAAAGGAGTCAGAATGAGAGCCTTGGTGCCATGTGTGCCCGGAGAGAATCCGAAGCAGGGGAGTGGCACGGTTGGGTTTCCATCACAAAAGACGTCTCTGAGCACCCTGAGGAACGTGGATGGAGGAGGACAGAGCAGAGAGGGGCGACTGTAATGGTGCTTGGGCGAGTGTTTCCCAGAGGAGATGAGGGCAGACAGAGCCAGGTATGTCCTGGGGTGGAATGAACTGGACCGCAGATTACACAGGAGGGAAAGGAAGAAGAGAGGCCTGGCAGACCACACTCCAGCTGACGTCCTGAGCAACCCGCGGCGCCCAGAAGCGAAGATGTTGGGAGGGGGGCGAGGGGTAGAACTCCTCGCTCCCGATTCAGACACATGAGCTGGAGGCGCCACTGGCCACCTGCGGACGCCAACTCGAGGGAAGAGGTCGCGCCTGGAGGGTTGACTCGGGAAGGCACTACAGACGGATGGTGCCTGAGCCACAAGCCTGGTGGGGGGATCCCCAGGTGCTGTGGGCAGAATGTCTGTGGGCCCCCTCCCCCAAGCCCACATGCCGAAATCCTGACTCCCCGTGTGACTGTGACGGCCTCTGGGGAGTGGTTTGCTCATGAGGGCAGAGCCTTGGGAATGGAATGAGAGCCCTTACAGAGAGACCCCCGAGAGCTCCCCCGTCCTCACCATGTGAGGACCCTAAGAAGACAGTGGTCTACGGACAAAGAAGCAGGCCCTCACCAGACACTAAATCTTCTGCCCCCTTGATCTTGGACTTCCCAGTCTCCAGAACTGCGGCAAATCCATTTCTGTTGTTTATACACCACCCAGTCTATGGTATTCTGACATAGCAGCCCGGGCTAAGATACCATGAGTGTCTGCTCAAAGGCATACTGGGCAAACTAAAAGTGCGTAAGCAAAAACATTATTGGGGATGTATTCTATATGAGCAAGATCTCGGTTATCCAAAAGTGATGCCCTGTACAATAACCAATCTGCTTTCAAATATCTTAAGTTGAGGCGGCCGAGAAGGGACTCTGCTTGGGTTCAGGCGGTCAAGTCTACGGTGATCCGTGACCGTCCCACTGCGCTCCGTCCAGTCTGGGTGACGGTGACACCCGGCTCAAAAAGAAAGTCGTCTTAAGCTGTTTGTTAACTTTTGAGGAAGTGGAAAGGGTCTCAGGAAATCCCCGCAACTGACTGAGAACGCTCAGAGACTTCAGCATAGAAAGCTTACTTAATGTGTTTCAGGATTTCTATCTCGAAGGATGAGTATAGTCAGACTTTCAGATAAGTGAGAAGGAAAATTGAAAATAACTAAAAAAATTAGAAAAGATTCAGCTTGTACATTTAAAAAGCAGCTCTTAGGAATTATTTTATTGTTTTGTGTTTGTTTGTTTTTGAATTGGAGTCTCACTCTGTCACCCAGACTGGAGTGCGGTGACCGCTCCCAGCCACTGCAGCTCGACCCACTGGGTGCCGGCGATCCTTCCGCCTCAGCCTTCTGAGTAGTATTTTATTGTTTTAAACCTCAGTTTAATCGTCGAGAAAACAAGCCAAGGCCTTACATGTTTGCGGTTTGCGAACATATTATCTAAATATTGAAACCCACTGAATTGCAAGCTTTGAGAGGACAGAGAGCCTGTCATGTTTCTATTTTGCATCCAAAGTGCTGACCTTGGTCCCTGACACAGAGTGAACTGTCAGTGAATGTGTATTCCAAGACTTCGTGAATGGTGAGGACTTTTAACATTGAGTCAGTCTTCACTGCTCTTTACCTTCTTCTTCCTTCCCTGGTGATAATGGAAGCGATGAAGAAAAAATTCTAGATCACAAAAAATATGTAAGCTATTTAGGAAAACACACACACACACAAAATGCAGAAATCCCGTTGACAAAAACCACCGTATTCTAAGACTCAGAAACATACCCTCGTAAGTGAATGAACTAACGAGTATACCAAACATTTGTCCCGAACGACACGTCTGCACACGGAAAGGCTGGCAAGAGGGAAGCCACGTGCGTGGGCCGCACCTCGCTCGTCCCGCTGTCCCACACTCCACACCGCAGTCACAGTTCTGGAATCACCACATTCGAGTGTTTCGTGCTTCAGACTGAGACTCTCCAACAGCTCCTCATTGCTCTTTGGATAGAGTCCCAAACCCCTCCCAAGGCAAGCCAGGCCCGGCGTGATGTGGCCCTTCCTCTCCCGCCTCCGAGCTCCCCAGTTCCCAGAGCGAAGGTGTCCTTGGGGCTTTCTGGGGGCCTCCCCACATGCCAGCCCCCGGCTCGGCCGCTGCTCTTTCCCTCTGGCCTGGCTCCTTCTCTTCCAGGTCTCAGGTAAGGAGTTCTGCCTTCGAAGCAGCCTGCTCCAAGCTCCCAGACCGCTAGGTCTCCACGCTACACGTGTCACAGTGACCACGCTGTAATTCGATGCCTGCTCTCCTGCCTCGACTGTCAGCACGAGGAAGCCAGGATGCCTCTGTCCGCGCGTTTTGTCCATCCCAGGGCCTGGCACACAAGAGGCCCTCATCTGACTGCACAAGTGGACGAATGCAAGAAAGAAGACACAAAAGTAGCTCCTCACCCTTGACTTCAAAACCAAGGACTCAAAAAATAAGCAGACTAGGAGGTCGTGTGTG